CAGCAGCGACACCAGGGTTGGGAAGGTACCAAACACCAAGACAAATCAGCATGCGATACAGGTTTTAATGGGGGGATGCTCTTCACTCAATGAACGTTCCGTTGATGAAGCTCCTCGGCCGCTCCAACACTCCAACGCAGCAGCAACAGGTACGTATTCAAGCCACTTTTTCTTCGGCCTTCTTCTTCCCCCTTCGTCAATCTCCTCCCTACTCAACTTTCTTTCTCATTTCCCCTCTCGCCGGCCTCGATCACTGCCAGCGATGTCCAGTGGATGCAGCAAGTAACTGCTCCGATACCAGTTTGCAATGAACCTCTTAGTTCAACACCAGTGAGCGCACATATTCACACCTCATGCATATAGGAGTTCACACGAAGTTCACACTGAAGACCAGAGAGAGTAAAACCAGACAACGCAGCTTATAATTCCAGCAAGTTACACAAGAGCAATAAGAGTTCAAGTCACCAGCACTCAACAGCGCACATCGAAGGTAACCAGTATCCAGCATAACACTCTCAGGTAAGTATCCCTTCCTCTCTGCTCTTCTCTCTCTTACGTAACCCCTTCCCTGCTGGTCTCTTCTTTAGCTATGTCCTCGCTGTATCTTCTCTCCCTACATGCATGCACACTCACTATCTTCTTCCCAAAGATCTACTCTGAATACACCCACTGACAACGTTACTAACCCCTCTGAAGTCTACTACTAACAGCTAGCACTAATACTTCTGCACTGGCACAGCTATGGCTGCTTTCTCCCAGCCAGCGCTATCTTCCTCTCTCTCCCTCACTTAGAGCAGCACTCTGGCTACAGCGCTCTGCTCCTCACTTCAGCGCACAAGTGCACCAGCACTTCCACACTACTTGCGAATGAGCAATCTGCCCGACTGTGAGGCTGGCCAGTCCTTTTGTAGTCTTGGTTTGCACTTCAACTCGTGCCAGCCTCTGTTTCTTGGGTCCTGACTCCTGACTGGTTCCGATACCACATCCCCACGGCCTGTCAGCTTCCGAATGTCAAGGCCTGGAACCTTCCCGAATTTCAATTGAACTGCTGCTGCTTGGGCCTTTGAGTCACGACTGTTCACTTGTGAACATGACTTTTGACTGTGGACAGTGACTCCTGCCTGTGGGTCACGACTTTTGCCTGTGATACTGCCTTTACTCGTGGGATGTGACTTTTCAATATGACTTTTCATTAGGGAATGTGACTCCTACCTTTGAGACATAACTCTTGCTTGTGAATCTGCCTTTTCACTCCTGGGGTGTGACCATACTTGCGGCGCATCCCATCCGTGCCACTCGCGCTCATGCGGTGCACTGCGCACGTGGCGCGCGCACCCGCGGCGCGCGCACCCGGTGCGCTGCATGGGCAAAATTCGGGGTCAACCAAAAAAAAAAAAAAAAAGTTGGGAGAGGGTGAATCGAAGTTCCCACGCCCAGCTAAAATTCGGACATCGCCCGCGCAAAAAATTTTCAGGGCCACGCTGCCCCAAAAACTCGGTGTGTCGTCATGTGCTGTAAACAACTCCATGCTATCTCCAGTGTATCCGAGTCCTTTCAGAGGTCCAATACAGTCATGATGAGGACGCGTCTGTGGAACCGTTCCTCTCCTGTCAATGACTGTCATTACTTCCAGCTATAGCAAACGACAGAACTGACAGTTGTGTTTCCTTGGTGCTTTTGCCAAAAAAAAAAAAAGAGAAAGAGAACGTCTGTGACATCCTCATGGGGCGTGGCTCCGTTTTCGGACAACGGATACTCCTGACACTGACAATGGGCCTCGCTCCCCGTTTTTGGACAACGGATACTCCTGACAGTGGGCCTCGCTCCACCACTCTCAAAATGTGCAAAACGAGAGTGAATCTTCCCCTAGAACAAGGACATATACATCGCCATGGTTTTTGTCTTGTGTGCATTTCCGGAGCAGTGCAGCAACTCCCTAAAAGACCCTTCTAGACTCAGCTACGGGCGTGATTCCAGGCATCATTGCCGTTAGAGAAGTCCTACCTTCTTCCCTCGAATACAACGTACGGTCATTATAGCTATATCTGGACGGAAAGATGCCTCAAATGCAGCTATAATGACCGAATGTTGTATTCGGGGGAAGAAGGTAGTGTCAGTAGGAGATACGAGATGGCCCCCGGGCAGTTTTTTTGTTTTTTTTTTGCTTTTGGTTTTCCAGACATACATAGTTGTCTTCTGCCCTCCATACAGGGCGGGAACTTGGTTGGAGGGCGGGAACTCGGATCCAGGGCAGCGTTGTCTCCTCGAAACTGCTGCTGCTCATGAATGTAGATCCGAATTTGGGGTCTGAATCGTGGAAGGCCTTTCAGCGCGAAGAGCCCTACAACCCCATATTTTTTACTTTACTTCTTCTGTATTTTTTTCACCTCCAAAAAGTTAGGGGGAGGTCGCAGTCACCCTCCGGTCTCCAGGACCCTCCCGGTCGTAACTGGCAGTGATACGTAGGTGGTGGTTTCCCCTACAATGACCAACTAGGGGGGGCAAACCAATTATCTCAGGTGGTGAACCCAAAGTGCGCCTCAGGGGCCGTAGGGAGTCACATGGATGACATTGGGAATCGAACCCATGACCTCCTGAATGCCATTTGTGTGTTCAACCAACTGAGCTAGGCCGTTTGCCCCAAAAAGATCAGACCTTAAAATTGCAGCAGGCCCAGCAGGGTCAATTATAGTCATCTGCTGCCTGGGCTAAGACGATTTCAAGCCCAATCCTTAGCACTTAGCACAGGTAAAAAGGAACTTTTGCATTCAGTTAGCTACAGCACCTCCAAAGCTCCAAGGGATAAGGAGCTAATCTGGCAGTCGACAAGGACTGAGAGGAGGAATCTCCAGGATTGAAAACAATTGAGGGGAGAAAAGAGGGATGGAGCTGAAGTCAATGTTTCCTATCTAGTAACCAATCAATGCTGCCGTCTCAGAGACCCTAGGTCATAACGTAGGAGGGCTTTAAGTGAGTTACTTATTTGTGCAAGGGACACAGCACTCAGTTTCCAGCTTTTAAAATACCAAATTCATGATTTTGTAAAAAGAAAAAATGGCTTGACCTTAGATCAGAACCAAAACTCCGGAATGCTACTGAACGGAAGGAATTCGTCAGGCAAGTGCAGCGATCCAGCGGGAGGCTGAGGAGGTCGTGGACCATGGAGGTTGCACCTGGTTTGGAGATGTCAAGAAAGTGGTGACTTCTGGGACGCTAGGCAAAGCACTTGAGCCAGGGTCTCTCTCTCTCTCTCTCTCTCTCTCTCTCTCTCTCTCTCTCTCTCTCTCTCTCTCTCTCTCTCTCTCTCTC